GTAGGTAATTGGTTAGATTATACGAGATAACTGCAAAATGTCAAATTTTCAGTTTTAATATTCTGTTCTTTCCACAGTTTGGATAATCTGACGGTAGATTACTTTTCAGCTAATGCACAGACCAATCTTACTCAAGTTTATTTAGCGATAAAGATATTTGATCATCGGCAGGACTCAACCGCAGCGATCCTCTACTTACGCAACAATCAGGTCCCAAATCCGGCACTAAATGTTCCAAACCCGCCACCAAATACGCCACAATCAGGTCCCAAATCCGGCACTAAATGTTCCAAACCCGCCACCAAATACGCCACCCATGATAACATTGGCAAACACGACACCAAATCTTGCAATTTCCTTCGGAACAGCACCACTAAATCATCAATAAACAGCTTTTATTATTAACAATACTGGTATATCGACTGGTTGGTTAATTGGCTTCTTACAACACACCGATATCGCCTGTACATCAGCTGGTATGAAAATTACCAAATAACTATCCCCGCGAACTTACTTTTTATGCCCGAAGTTGTTCCTGCTGGAGTGCCGAATAATTTTACCATAGACCTATGGGAGGTACAGCAAGAAGCTTTGTATCGTCTGGTGTGTATTGCTTTCACGCTTCTCTGATATATTATTATTATCGGTATTTACTATTTTTTTTTACATTTTTAGTAATAATATTAATCAACTTGAGGGTTTTTTGACGGATATCCTCCTAAACCTGCTCTTGCTCATTTTTTAAGTTTTAGAAATCAATGTACTGCATCTGTTTTTAAGTTTACAGTATAATAAATTCACATAAGCATATTAAAAAAAAATACAAGGCCCGAAATATATGTTTTTTTTTATTAATACGTGCGAAAAATAAATACAGAAATTCGGGACATGGTAGTCTAATTTACATGATCATTTTATAGGTTTGGTCGATCAAATTCGTATAAATCTCGATCAAATTCGAACGTTACACAAATTCGATGTATTCTATCATCCTGCGGTATTCCTTAATCTGACTTTTCTACAAGATTACTCGATAACCTTTGCTTTTTTATATCCCTCGATTCCTGGTCCCCCCTGGAACCCTTCTACCAGCTTCTGCACCTTCTTCAATAATCATAT